CCAGAACCTCCCTGTCCCTTCTCCTGCCCCCCTTACCCTGCTGCTCAGAACAGAGTGTTGGGCTCTGTGCAGCCGAGCCGGACACGTGGCTGAGCTCCCCAGCACAACAAAACCCGGTCCCTGGCCCTGCACAACAAAACCCGGTCTGGCCCTGCACAACAAAACCCGGTCTGGCCCTGCACAGTGCTGCCGGACTGGGCTGCAAGGGAGCTGCTGGCTCAGAATGCAGGGCGGATCCGGCTCCTCTACAGCTGCTCCTGAGTCCAGCCCGGGACTTCCCTGCAGCCCTCCCAGCCGCTCGCTCTGCTAATCCCGGACATTGTGAGTGCTTTACAAATTCCCCCCGACGCTATTTTTAGCACACAAAAGGAGGACATGTCCGGGTAAATCCGGACGAATGGTAACCCTACCTTTGCAATGTAACATGTTCAATGAGGCTTTTATCCTCCCCCCTCCCCCCTGTGCCTATCGCTGGAGCGAGCCTTTTATCCCTCCCCCCACTGTCTGACCGATAACTGGACGCAATAACTGGCCGCTGGGGGAGAAGAGGAGGTTAGTGGAGGGGCTGGAGCCGGCCTGGGCGCTGTGGTTAAAGCCCAGCCCCGGTTCCCAGGGCACAACCCGGCAAAGGCCCCAGTGGGGAGAGCAAAGAGCAGCACAGAGAGAAAATGCAGCTTCTGCTGCGGCTGCTGCCTCTTGCTGGCAGCCCCCCCGCCGCAGAGAGCCCGGATCAGCCGCGCCGAGAGCTGGCAAGCGGTACCAGCCTCGGGCTGGCGCGGACGCTGGATTTAGCCGCCGTCCTGGGTGCAGGCTCACAGCAGCGAGCACAACGCACAGGCTTGGCCGGCTCAGCCAGACGCTCCTTAGACAGAGGGGAGCGGGAAGAGAAGAAATACGGCGGGGAAGGGAAGGGGCCCATGGGACGGGGGTGGGGAGACAAAGTCTCCCGTCCCAGGTGGTGTCTGGATCTCACTGGGGGCAGGGGCAGGTGGGTCCGTCTCCCTGGCCCTGGCACGGTCGGGTCAGGACACCTCTCAGGATCAGGATGACGAAGGCCCAATGGTGTCACGCTGGGTCCGAGGGGACGGGTGCGGCGGCAGCCGTGACAATGATGCTGGCTCCTTCCCCTTTCCTTGTCTTTTACTGAGCAATGGTCGCCTCCCCCGCCCCCGCTCCCAAGTCGCTTCTTTTAAGGACCCCAAAGGGGAAGGGAACAGCCCCTCCCCTCATTATTTTCTCCCCCAGTGAGGCCTGATTTCCAGCCCCACAAATCTGGCCCTTGGTTTGCAGTCCCGGCAGGGCCTGATCCGAGCCCCGGAGTGACCTCAGGGCTCTGTTTGCACTGACTCGCCGGGCTCTCCGGGCGCTTTCCCCAGCACATCTCTTGTCATAGGCTGGGCTGACCCCAGGGAACTGCCCCTCTCTGCTCCCAGCTGGGCTCACCCCTGGGGAATTCACAGGCCAGGGCCCGTCCCTACCTCGGCCCCGCTCCAGAAGATGGGGTGGTTGATGTGGCAGGTGCTGTTCCTCTGAGTCTGCTCCTTGGAGCCCACGGCCGAGTTGCACCTAATGGCCATGGCCCTCCTGTTAGACTGAGCACAGGGACCAGCCAGTGAGAAATGGAGCCACAGTGCCCCCTGCTGAGCCCCCCGCC